AAAATCAGACCTGGCGAAAAATTTGATATTTTGGTGTTTATTTTTATGGGACTCCAAAAATGACAGAACAGCGCCACCTACAACAGCCAAAATAATACCCCTATGGGACTTTTCGGAGGTCAAGTTTGTCGTAGAAAAATGAGATTTGGTACACATGTTCCTCAAGTCAAGACAAGAAAAAAATATTATTATGGCCCCGCCCTCTGACAAACAGGAAGCCCATAAATTTCACTGCAAAATGGAAAAATGAACAGCAAAAGTTTTCATACATGTCGGTTGGAAAGCGACTCCTCCTCGGCCATTTCACCGATTCGCCTCAAATTCGCTCCACATCATCTCAACACATGTACCTTCAAAATGACCTCAGGGATTTTTGATTAGTGAAACATTGTTCGAGCAGCGGAGCGGCAAAATGTGACCTTTTTTTGGCCGTTTTTGACAACATTAAATTTGCTCCCGTTTGAACAAACAAAGTCTGATTTGTACAAAACTTTAATACATTGTTGAACTCTAGGGTCTAGGTCATTTGAAAGTGAATTAATTCAAATTGACACATTAGCGCCCCCTACAGACTATTTCAAAGTTTTAGATGGGCATTTTCAAATTTAGTTTTTTCAAAATGTTTGAAATTTTGCACATAAATCTGTTTTGCCCTCTTGATTCAAAAAGTCAATTGGGTCCAAGGCTTATTTTTTACCCTGTTGCCGTGGCGACGAGAAACGCTCCCCATTCTTTGCAAATGTACACCTCACACAAACATCAAACCAGCCACGGCCGTTTCACCGATTTGCCTCAAAATCGCTCCACATCATCTCAACACATGTACCATCAAAATGACTTCAGGGAATTTTGATCAGTGAAACATTTTTCGAGCAGCAGAGCGCCAAAAAGTGGCGTATTTTTTTTCAGTTTTTGACGATAGAAAAATTGCTTCCGTTTGCACAAACAAAGTCTGATTTGCACAAAACTTGAATCCATGGATCAACTCTTGGGTCTAGGTCATTTGAAATTTAAAATTTAGAAATTGGCTCTATAGCGCCACCTACAACAGCCAATTTAAAAATGCCTCTGGGAGGAGTTCGAGGTCAAAATTGTCATAGAACCATGTAATTTGGAACACATGTTCCTCAAGTCAAGTCATGGAAAAAATGTAATTATGGCTAAGCCCTCTGACAAACAGGAAGCCCATAAATTTCATTGCAAAATGGAAAAATGAAAACCAATCATTTTCATACACGTCGGTTGGAAAGCGACTCCTCCTCGGCCGTTTCACTGATTGGCCTCAAAATTGTTCCAAATCATCTCAACACATTTACCTTCAAAATTACTTCAGGGAATTTTGATCAGTGAAACGTTGTTTGAGCAGCGGAGCAGCAAAATGTGAGTGTTTTTTTGCCGTTTTTGACAACATTAATTTTTTTCCCGTTTAGACAAACAAAGTCTGATTTGCATTAAACTTGAATCCATTGTTCAACTCCAGGGTTTAGGTCAGGTGAAAGTGAAATATTTGAAATTGGCCCATTAGCGCCCCCTACAGACTGAATCAAAGTTTACATGGGGAGCCAAACCAGCTCTACTTATCATAGTCATTACAATTTGACTAACAATCTTCTATGGCTACGGGAACAAATCATCACACGGCGGCGCCACCTCCTTTGAGCGGTGCTGCGTGGTACGGTGTGGTGCGGCGTAGTGCGGGGCGTTGTGGAGCGGCGCGTTGCGGCTTGGTGCGGGGCGGCGTGATGCGGGACGGCGTGGTGCGGGGTGGCTTGGCAAGGGGTGGTGCGCGCGTTGCGGGGGGTGCGCGCGGTGCGGGGAGTTGCGCGGTGCGGCGAGGGCCGTTCGACGCCGCTTGCGGCTTTAATTAGGCCCGAGCCCCGAACGGGGTAAGGGCCTATTGCTTTCACAATGGTGAAAACAAATGGTGGCGGTGCGTGACGGACGCGTCAGCGCCCGTCACTCACCAAAATGTGACGGTTGCGTGCGTAAACTCAAAAGCTTTAAAATTATGTATCAGGTGCCATTGAAACCTATATTGTTTTTGCTCGAGACGTTAAAAAAAAAATTCCTTTTTTATTAGGCCCGAGCCCCGAACGGGGTAAGGGCCTATTGCTTTCACAATGGTGAAAACAAATGGTGGCGGTGAGTGACGGACGCGTCAGCGCCCGTCACTCACCAAAACGTGACGGTTGCGTGCGTAAACTCGAACACTTTAAAATGATGTATCACGTGCCATTAAAACCTATATTGTTTTTGCTCGAGACGTCGAAAAAAAAAATTCCTTTTTTATTTCTTTCTTTCTTTCTTTCTTTTTTCTTCTGCACTTTGAGCCTTAATTTGACCCCCTGAACATGCATGAAAAGTTGTTAAATTTTGCCCAAAAATCAGACCTGGCGAAAAATTTGATATTTTGGTGTTTATTTTTATGGGACTCAAAAAATGCCAGAACAGCGCCACCTACAACAGCCAAAATAATACCCCTATGGGAGTTCTGAAGATCAAGTTTGGTGTAGAGTCATGAAATTCGGTACACATGTTCCTCAAGTCAAGACAAGAAAAAAATATTATTATGGCTCCGCCCTCTGACAAACAGGACGCCCATAAATTTCACTGCAAAATGGAAAAATGAACAGCAAAAGTTTTCATACATGTCGGTTGGAAAGCGACTCCTCCTCGGCCGTTTCACCGATTCGCCTCAAAATCGCTCCACATCATCTCAACACATGTACCTTCAAAATGACCTCAGGGATTTTTGATCAGTGAAACATTGTTTGAGCAGCGGAGCGGCAAAATGTGACCTTTTTTTGGCCGTTTTTGACAACATTAAATTTGCTCCCGTTTGCACAAACAAAGTCTGATTAGCACAAAACTTTAATACATTGTTCAACTCTAGGGTCTAGGTCATTTGAAAGTGAATTGATTCAAATTGACACATTAGCGCCCCCTACAGACTATTTCAAAGTTTTAGATTGGCATTTTCAAATTTATTTTTTTCAAAACGTTTGAAATTTTGCACATAAATCTGTTTTGCCCTCTTGATTCAAAAAGTCAATAGGGTCCAAGGCTTATTTTTTACCCTGTTGCCGTGGCGACGACAAACGCTCCCCATTCATTGCAAATGTACACCTCACACAAACATCAAACCAGCCTCTGCCGTTTCACCGATTCACCTAAAAATCGCTCCACATCCTCTCAACACATATACCATCAAAATGACTTCAGGGAATTTTGATCCGTGCAACGTTGTTTGAGCAGCGGAGCGGCAAAATGTGAGGATTTTTTTGGCTCTTTTTGACATTAATTTTGCTCCTGTTTGCACAAACAAAGTCTGATTTGCATTAAACTTGAATCCATTGTTCAACTCCAGGGTTTAGATCATTTGAAAGTGAAATATTTAACATTGGCCCATTAGCGCCCCCTGCAGACTGAGTCAAAGTTTACATGGGGAGCCAAACCAGCTCTACTTATCATATTCATTACAATTTGACTTACAATCTTCTATGGCTATGGGAACAAATCACCACACGGCGGCGCCACCTCCTTTTAGCGGTGCTGCGGCGTAGTGCGGGGCGTTGTGGAGCGGCGCGTTGCGGCTTGGTGCGGGGCGGCGTGATGCGGGGCGGCGTGATGCGGGGCGGCGTGATGCGGGGCGGCGTGGTGCAGGGTGGCGTGGTGCGGGATGGCTTGGTGCGGGGGGTGTGCGCGGTGTGGGGAGTCGCGCGGTGCGGCGAGGGCCGTTCGACGCCGCTTGCGGCTTTAATTATACTTGTTCTAGCCCAGGAAATCTGGGAAAGAACAAGTTTGCTGTTGTTTGATGTCATATTTGACCCACTGAACATGCACGAAAACTTACAAAATTTTGCCACAAGTTCTGTTCTTGCAAACACTTTATTAATTTTGTGTTCCCTAGTAAGAGACTTCAAATTTGAAGTTGTAGGGGGCGCAATTGTAGTCTAATAAAGCCACCATTTGCACATACAAAGTCCGATTTGCACCAAATTTGAATTGGTTGTTCAACTTTTGGGTTTGGGTAAACTGAAAGTGTAAAACATCAAATTGAGGCATTAGCGCCCCCTACAGAATGTCATTTTCACACATGTTGGTTGGAAAGCGACTCCTCCTCGGCCTTTTCACTGATTTGCCTTAAAATCGCTCCACATCGTCTAAACACATGTACCATCCTTTTGATTTCAGCGATTTTTGATCAGTGAAACGTTGTTTGAGCAGCGAAGCGCCAAAAAGTGGCGTTTTTTTTTTAGTTTTTGACTATAGAAAAATTACTTCCGTTTACTCAAACAAAGTCCGATTTGCACAAAACTTGTTTTCATGGTTAAACTCTAGGGTGTAGGTCATTTGAAAGTGAAATAATTAAAATGCCAGAACAGCGCCCCCTACAACAGCCAATTTAATACTCCTATGAGAGTTTTGGCGTTCAAGTTTGCCGTAGAGCCATGAAATTTGGTACACATATTCCTCAAGGTAAGACATGAAAATTTTTTTATTATGGCCCCGCCCTCTGACTGACAGGGAGCCCATAAATTTCCCTGTAAAATGGATAAACGAACAGCAATAATTTTCACACATGTCGTTTGGGAAGCGACTCCTCGGCCGTTTCACAGATTCGCCTGAAAATTGCTCCACATCATTTCAACACATTTACCTTCAAAATGACTTCAGGGAATTTTTATCAGGGAAACAATGTTCGAGCAGTGGAGCGGCAAATAGTGACCTTTTTTGACGATAGAAAAATAGCTCTCATTTGCACAAACAAAGTTTGATTTGTACTAAACTTGACCCGGTTGTTCTACTCCTGGGCCTGGGTCACCTGAAGGTGTAAAATATTACAATGGCTCTTTAGCGCCCCCTACACACCGAGCTAAAGCTTTACATGGGGAGCCAAACCAATGGATCAATATCACATACATTGGTCTATGGCTATGGTAGCAAATCATGGTGCGGCGCGGCGGCGCCACCTGCGGAGCGGCGAGTCACGCGCGGAGTCACGGGGAGGGGAGTTGTGGCGAGTTGCGGCGAGTTGCGCGGTACGGGGAATCGTAGCGGTGCGGGGAGTCGTAGTGCTGCGGGGAGTCGTAGTGCTGCGGGGAGTCGTAGCGCTGCGGAGAGTCGTAGCGGTGCAGGGAGTCGTAGCGGAACGGAGAGTCGTAGAAGCGCGCGGTGCAGGGAGTCGTAGCGGAGTGGGGAGTCGTAGCGGAGCGGGGAGTCGTAGCGGAGCGGGGAGTCGTAGCGGAGCGGCAAGGCGCTTGGTGCGGGGTGTCGCGCGGTGTGGCGAGGGCCGTTCGACGCCGCTTGCGGCTTTAATTTATTTATTTCTTTCTTTCTTTCTTTCTTTTTTCTTCTGCACTTTGAGCCTTAATTTGACCCCCTGAACATGCATGAAAAGTTGTTAATTTTGGCCCAAAAATCAGACCTGGCGAAAAATTTGATATTTTGGTGTTTATTTTTATGGGACTCAAAAAAGGACAGAACAGCGCCACCTACAACAGCCAAAATAATACCCCTATGGGACTTTTCGGAGGACAAGTTCGTCGTAGAAAAATGAAATTTGGTACACATGTTCCTCAAGTCAAGACAAGAAAAAAATATTATTATGGCCCCGCCCCCTGACAAACAGGAAGCCCATAAATTTCACTGCAAAATGGAAAAATGAACAGCAAAAGTTTTCATACATTTCGGTTGGAAAGCGACTCCTCCTCGGCCGTTTCACCGATTCGCCTCAAAACCGCTCCACATCATCTCAACACATGTACCTTCAAAATGACCTCAGGGATTTTTGATCAGTGAAACATTGTTCGAGCAGCGGAGCGGCAAAATGTGACCTTTTTTTGGCCGTTTTTGACAACATTAAATTTGCTCCCGTTTGCACATACAAAGTCTGATTAGCACAAAAATTTAATACATTGTTCAACTCTAGGGTCTAGGTCATTTGAAAGTCAAATGATTCCAATTGACTCATTAGCGCCCCCTACAGACTATTTCAAAGTTTTAGATGGGCATTTTCAAATTTAGTTTTTTCAAAATGTTTGAAATTTCGCACATAAATCTGTTTTGCCCTCTTGATTCAAAAAGTCAATAGGGTCCAAGGCTTATTTTTTACCCTGTTGCCGTGGCGACGAGAAACGCTCCCCATTCATTGCAAATGTACACCTCACACAAACATCAAACCAGCCTCGGCCGTTTCACCGATTCGCCTCAAAATCGCTCCACATCATCTCAACACATGTACCATCGAAATGACTTCAGGGAATTTTGATCCGTTAAACGTTGTTTGAGCAGCGGAGCGGCAAAATGTGAGGTTTTTTTTTGCTCTTTTTGACAACATTAATTTTGCTCCTGTTTGCACAAACAAAGTCTGATTTGCACAAAACTTTAATCCATTGTTCAATTCCAGGGTTTAGGTCAGGTTAAAGTGAAATATTGGAAATTGGCCCATTAGCGCCCCCTACAGACTGTGTCAAAGTTTACATGGGGAGCCAAACCAGCTCTACTTATCATATTCATTACAATTTGACTAACATTCTTCTATGGCTACGGAAACAAATCATCACACGGCGGTGCCACCTCCTTTTAGCGGTGCTGCGTGGTACGGTGTGGTGCGGCGTACTGCGGGGCGTTGTGGAGCGGCGCGTTGCGGCTTGGTGCGGGGCGGCGTGGTGCGGGACGGCATGGTGCAGGGCGGCGTGGTGCGGGACGGCATGGTGCAGGGCGGCTTGGTGCAGGGCGGCGTGGTGCGGGGAGTGCGCGCGGTGCAGGGAGTCGCGCGGTGCGGCGAGGGCCGTTTGACGCCGCTTGCGGCTTTAATTTAATTTCTTTCTTTCTTTCTTTTTTCTTCTGCACTTTGAGCCTTAATTTGACCCCCTGAACATGCATGAAAAGTTGTTAATTTTGGCCCAAAAATCAGACCTGGCGAAAAATTTGATATTTTGGTGTTTATTTTTATGGGACTCAAAAAATGACAGAACAGCGCCACCTACAACAGCCAAAATAATACCCCTATGGGACTTTTCGGAGGTCAAGTTTGTCGTAGAAAAATGAGATTTGGTACACATGTTCCTCAAGTCAAGACAAGAAAAAAATATTATTATGGCCCCGCCCTCTGACAAACAGGAAGCCCATAAATTTCACTGCAAAATGGAAAAATGAACAGCAAAAGTTTTCATACATGTCGGTTGGAAAGCGACTCCTCCTCGGCCGTTTCACCGATTCGCCTCAAATTCGCTCCACATCATCTCAACACATGTACCTTCAAAATGACCTCAGGGATTTTTGATCAGTGAAACATTGTTTGAGCAGCGGAGCGGCAAAATGTGACCTTTTTTTGGCCGTTTTTGACAACATTAAATTTGCTCCCGTTTGAACAAACAAAGTCTGATTTGTACAAAACTTTAATACATTGTTGAACTCTAGGGTCTAGGTCATTTGAAAGTGAATTAATTCAAATTGACACATTAGCGCCCCCTACAGACTATTTCAAAGTTTTAGATGGGCATTTTCAAATTTAGTTTTTTCAAAATGTTTGAAATTTTGCACATAAATCTGTTTTGCCCTCTTGATTCAAAAAGTCAATTGGGTCCAAGGCTTATTTTTTACCCTGTTGCCGTGGCGACGAGAAACGCTCCCCATTCTTTGCAAATGTACACCTCACACAAACATCAAACCAGCCACGGCCGTTTCACCGATTTGCCTCAAAATCGCTCCACATCATCTCAACACATGTACCATCAAAATGACTTCAGGGAATTTTGATCAGTGAAACATTTTTCGAGCAGCAGAGCGCCAAAAAGTGGCGTATTTTTTTTCAGTTTTTGACGATAGAAAAATTGCTTCCGTTTGCACAAACAAAGTCTGATTTGCACAAAACTTGAATCCATGGATCAACTCTTGGGTCTAGGTCATTTGAAATTTAAAATTTAGAAATTGGCTCTATAGCGCCACCTACAACAGCCAATTTAAAAATGCCTCTGGGAGGGTTTGAGGTCAAAATTGTCATAGAACCATGTAATTTGGAACACATGTTCCTCAAGTCAAGTCATGGAAAAAATGTAATTATGGCTAAGCCCTCTGACAAACAGGAAGCCCATAAATTTCATTGCAAAATGGAAAAATGAAAACCAATCATTTTCATACACGTCGGTTGGTAAGCGACTCTTCCTCCGCCGTTTCACCGATTGGCCTCAAAATTGTTCCAAATCATCTCAACACATTTACCTTCAAAATTACTTCAGGGAATTTTGATCAGTGAAACGTTGTTTGAGCAGCGGAGCAGCAAAATGTGAGGGTTTTTTTGCCGTTTTTGACAACATTAATTTTTTTCCCGTTTAGACAAACAAAGTCTGATTTGCATTAAACTTGAATCCATTGTTCAACTCCAGGGTTTAGGTCAGGTGAAAGTGAAATATTTGAAATTGGCCCATTAGCGCCCCCTACAGACTGAATCAAAGTTTACATGGGGAGCCAAACCAGCTCTACTTATCATAGTCATTACAATTTGACTAACAATCTTCTATGGCTACGGGAACAAATCATCACACGGCGGCGCCACCTCCTTTGAGCGGTGCTGCGTGGTACGGTGTGGTGCGGCGTAGTGCGGGGCGTTGTGGAGCGGCGCGTTGCGGCTTGGTGCGGGGCGGCGTGGTGCGGGGCGGCGTGATGCGGGACGGCGTGGTGCGGGGTGGCTTGGCAAGGGGTGGTGCGCGCGTTGCGGGGGGTGCGCGCGGTGCGGGGAGTTGCGCGGTGCGGCGAGGGCCGTTCGACGCCGCTTGCGGCTTTAATTTATTTATTTCTTTCTTTTTTCTTCTGCACTTTGAGCCTTAATTTGACCCCCTGAACATGCATAAAAAGTTGTTAATTTTGGCCCAAAAATCAGACCTGGTGAAAAATTTGATATTTTGGTGTTTATTTTTATGGGACTCAAAAAATGCCACAACAGCGCCACCTACAACAGCCAAAATAATACCCCTATGGGACTTTTCGGAGGTCAAGTTTGTCGTAGAAACATGAGATTTGGTACACATGTTCCTCAAGTCAAGACAAGAAAAAAATATTATTATGGCTCCGCCCTCTGACAAACAGGAAGCCCATAAATGTCACTGCAAAATGGAAAAATGAACAGCAAAAGTTTTCATACATGTCGGTTGGAAAGCGACTCCTCCTCGGCCGTTTCACCGATTCGCCTCAAAATCGCTCCACATCATCTCAACACATGTACCTTCAAAATGACCTCAGGGATTTTTGATCAGTGAAACATTGTTCGAGCAGCGGAGCGGCAAAATGTGACCTTTTTTTGGCCGTTTTTGACAACATTAAATTTGCTCCCGTTTGCACATACAAAGTCTGATTTGCACAAAACTTTAATACATTGTTCAAGCTCTAGGGTCTAGGTCATTTGACAGTGAAATGATTCCAATTGACTCATTAGCGCCCCCTACAGACTATTTCAAAATTTTAGATGGGCATTTTCAAATTTTAGTTTTTTCAAAATGTTTGAAATTTTGCACATAAATCTGTTTTGCCCTCTTGATTCAAAAAGTCAATAGGGTCCAAGGCTTATTTTTTACCCTGTTGCCGTGGCGACGACAAACGCTCCCCATTCATTGCAAATGTACACCTCACACAAACATCAAACCAGCCTCGGCCGTTTGACCGATTTGCCTCAAAATCGCTCCACATCATCTCAACACATGTACCATCAAAATGACTTCAGGGAATTTGATCAGTGAAACGTTGTTTGAGCAGCGGAGCGCCAAAAAGTGGCGTAATTTTTTTCTGTTTTTGACAATAGAAAAATTTTCTTCCGTTTGCTCAAACAAAGTCTGATTTGCACAAAACTTAAATCCATGGTTCAAGACTAATATCTAAAGTATATATAAACATGTAATTGTATTTGACCATATTTTAGCATCTGTGGTGTTTAATCTGAGAAACAGTTATTACTGAACGAAGGCCTCATCTTTGACATAATGACAGTTGAGGTAAGTCACACCTGCATCAAACATTTCACATCCAAAACATGGATGTGAACCTCAACAAGGATAGTCTTGTATACGTACCATTTAATCTCGTTTGTCTGTTTGCCCGAACCCGTAAAAATGTCTGCAAAACAACAAAGAAGAGACAGGAAATAAGCACAGGCTGTTGCAGAACCACTATAACCCAATAATAAGAGAATATATAACTTTTCATGGTGAGATTACATTGGATTGTGATGAACTGAACCTACTTCTTTGCTCTTCTGCACCTCCTCCATGTCTGCTAGCTCTCACTCACAGCCGCTTTCACAGATGCACAAAGTCATTGCGCCAAACTATGCTCATGTATCCGCAGATATTTTTTCATCAGTGCATAAGCGGGGGGCATTTCAACTATAAATGGATGGGAAGGGATTGAAAGTAGCGCAGGACGGATCGTACAAGAGCAGTACACAGCGCCATGTTGGCTTGTTTTGGTCACGTGACGGAAGGAGGCCGGAAATGTACAAAAGTCTGACGTGCATGTCGCGGTTTGGCCACTAGGGGGAAGCATCGCGTTTTAGGAGCTGATATATAACGGGACATCTATGGACATGAGGCTAAGTTTAGTTTACATCCAAAGTAATGTAATGTATTTTTTTGAAAAGCAGGGCATATTAATTCATTGCTATTTGGAAACATGACCAAAACTGGTAATACATGTTGAGCTAATTAAATAAATAAATAAAGGTGAAAAGAAAGGGTACAAGGCAGACTGAAGAAGTGAGGTTTATGAGATCAGAATACCAGTTTTTTTAATCCAGACATGATATACTGATTAACACTATGGCAAGTTGTGATCTTATTCTAGTCAATCATTGATTGTTGAGCAGCAGGAGATCAGAGGAACTGATGGAAAAGCCAAAAACCTATCCAAAGCATAGCACATCAAATCCATATCCTTTACAAAATTTTAACATGAATAAATATATCTATTTGATATATAAATATATATATTAGTTAAAAAGTGTCACAAAAGGTGCATGTTGCCGTTTATGTTTCATTTGGATGGAGGTAAAAGGAGTGACCATTGACTTTATCATTTGTAAAATATAAGGTGGTTTCAGCAGTTTCACTTAATGAGAAAATGTGCTTTATTGCTCTGAGGCTTTTATGAGCTGTGTCATCTCCAACGTATGGATGTAATGTCTGCATGGACTTAATAGTTCTAATTTTATGGTGTAAGGGGGAAACCCACTTAACCCAGCAATACATCACAGTCCCAAGAATTAGTCTGGCAAACTTTGATAAATATAAGGGATAAAAGCTTCAGGAATTGGTTGATATAAGTCCCGCTGTCTAATACTCAGCAAACATTAGTCTGAATAAGTTTTGGATGCATGTAAACTGATGGCTTCTTTACAAATTATCTATTGATCTAAAATTAAACTTGTAATTATCATTGAAATGCAATCTTCAATTATCATGAAAAACCAATATGTGACATTTGATCTGAATTATATTGTATAGAGTATATATGTTTCCAGTGATTTGGTAGTGAGAAAATGACCTGGTATCTGTCGGAGTGATGAGCGTCTTCAATGGACAGCGGCGAGACCACGGGAGACTCGCCCTCGCGCTTGATGTGCACCGACAACAGCATTGACTGTGGAGACAGAGAGGAGGAGGAGAGGGAAATAAAATGCTTTCTAAATGGAGATAAGCATGTTATATTATCACCTCCAGGGTGCGAGCACAATAGGAGCTGCATGTCTTTACTTGACAGCCGCATAATCAATAAACATGGACAAGGCCGGAGTAATGCTGCATGTAGGGAAATAAATCTTCTCCAGGCAACACAGATACTGTTCAGTGTATCCCACAGAGGGCCTGGGTTTGATATGCCGTAAAGAGACCAACTAAACTATGACGCAAATGTCAAAATTATGAAAACATTCTGAGCAGTCCATGTGTGGGACAATTTCTCCCGTTCCAACAGCAGAGTTAGAGATACTTCAGCACTCAGGGACGCTTTGTAAATTTAAATTGTGAGATCACTAAAGTCTATCTTATCTTATATTTATTATGGCGTTCAGTAAGAAGTGGGAAAATACCACAATGCAGAAATATCCTCTATGACCGTGTTATAGGCCTAGTTGTTCCCATTTTTATACGCAGTTAAAAACTCTACCCATATCAAAAAACCATCACATTATAATGACTAATTCCATTGTATGTGTTCCATAAACATATTTCCTTCCATTTATAACATATTGCATTTAAAGTTGTAAACTGTATGTTTCATTGTAAAAGAAAACCTCAGGAGATTACAGGCTTTTGCATTGCCACCAAAGCAGACAGCCACACGTCATTGCTGTTCACTGCACCCTGTGTGACTTTGTCTATAAAATCCCTTCCACTGATTAAAGTTAATGTTTATGGGGCCTTAAGAGGAGTTAGGGAAGAATTAGTGAAAGGAGTGAAAGCAGACGGGACACATCTAAAAACAGCTCCTGACATTATGGGAAAGTGTATGGACGTAATATATACAAATGTGGACTAGTTTTACCATCCAACTTTCATACTACTTTGTTACTTACCACTGCTGCTAAGTTTAGTTATTCAATATTAAAACATGTTGGCATAAACTGGCTCATCATTAGTAAGCTATTACATGTCTTGTCTATTTCAAAAAAGATCAAGTTTTGACTGCGTTTAAAGAGTACTATAGAAACTCCTCAAGTACAAAACTATCAAGAAGACAGCACAAATGATTCATATTGTTATTTTATAAGGCTCGACCCTCTTTATATGCTTGTGTGTGCTTGTGCAGGCTTTTTTACGAGACGGCTATGAAATATTTGTATTTACAGTCGGCTCCTATTAATCAAATGGAAAGGGGCAGAGCAGAGGCTTAAGTGCTCGACAGCAGTAATCTAATAATAATATGTGACAAATGACCAGCCTCCATTGGTGCCACTGTAAATTGGATATTATGCATGGTGCTTATATGGCCTGCTGTAAATGTGAGTCTGTGTGTGTGTGTGGGTTTTTTAGACCGGCTTAAAAAGGTCAGGAATCATTTACCTGCGGCATTATGGGAATATTCTCAAGTGTAATCATGAGAGTTTGACATTTAACTAGAGATTGTGAATAAAGATGTTGGAACGGTGGCTCTTAGGAGCAGGCAATTAGAAAACCATAAGGAGAAACAAAGGGCCTTTATCTGTAAAGGCTCTCTTGATGCTTCTTGTTCAGAAGTAAAGACTTTATAGCTGGACTTATTTGTATATAGAGATCTTTTTCAGGCTATTTTTGTATTATGAAAAATAGCAAACAGAGCCTTCCTCAGCCGTCATGTCCTCAGCCAAGTGGTCCAAAATCAAATAAAATCATGTACATCCCTCAATGATGGATTATTTTAGTGCTTAATTTTTATCGTTTGTTACACCAAGAATCCCTAAACAGATGTAACTTGTAACTTAGTTTAAGCTACAAGTTAAGTTAAGTTAAGTAAGTAGTTGAAGTTACGTGCTTGTTTCCAATTTTAAAGGAAAGTATATCCAGGCAAAACAACTTTTAGATGAATCCGAGCTAAAAGCAGGCCCACAGGGACAGCTTTAGGAATGCACCTTTAAGTATTACACAAATTGTGGATTACTTGTGGAAAAGTACTAGAAACAATTGCTCTTATGTATGTGTCCATTATGTATTTCTGATATTGTGTAATCTATTAGAAGTTCTTGAGGAATAAAAAGCCAAATATTTCGGCGTATGATACATTCTTTGTATTCTGGTGGCACATTTTGTTGAATGGGGAAATATGTGGAATAATCATCAAAATCAAATGAATTGCTCAACCTCACACACAACTGAGGCCACATTTTCCATTTGCACCAATAAACCTTTACAAAGAGCCAGAGCACTCCTGACATTTTCCTTCTGAACATGGCTTGAAGTGTTCAAATTGGTCCAAACAGCACATGTGACGGTACACGGGGTTAATCCTGGCTCTAACAGGTGCCTTTGTTTCAGAAGATGAAGGATATGATGCGGCGCAGGTCAGAGCTCTTCTTTCGCTATGGCCCAGCGCCGCATACTAAACAACAGCGCTAACATGCACAGGCACGGGCGCAGAGGAAGGTGAGGCTCACCCTTTGCACCCCCCCGATGTCCGTCACCCCAGACAACAAGCCCACCCACGGAGCGCCAAGTGCGGAGCTTAGCCAGGGTCAGAGCCATGTGCGAGAGGGAATCATAATTACCCTGCAGTGTGAAGTGCATTCATCGGATAAATGCATAGTGGAGTTGACTTACAAAACAATGCACTTTTTAATTAATTCAAAATATTTTACATATACGTTGGTGAACATTTAAAAGTGGGTGATTGGAATTTAAAGAGAGATGGTGACAGTTGATTTTCAAAACACAAAGCTGTTGTAATCGAATCTATGTACACTATCTAGTACATACCTATGTATCTGGGTTTTTCAGACAGAAAAGTAAAAATAGAGAACCACCTCACTCAGTCACTTAGCTCTCTTTCCAAAAGCATCAAATAGTGACTCCCAGGGCTCTTTCTTGCAAATATAACATGGTTAAGAATACATAAAAGACAGGTCTTGTGGTCTCATTTGTTCATCAATCCGTTATCACTTCAGATATGAATGAAATAATCTTGCCAGTTTTACTAAGCCTTTTTTGTTTGTTAGATTGAGACTATAACGCACTATATACACACACAGGGATTATTTCTGTGCATCCAAAAATGCTCTAATTGGCTCAAACAAGTGCAGTGACTCCTGGCCTGCTGGCGTTGGACACAGAAGACTGGTCTATGTGAACGAGTTGAAAATGTAAGCCACGATCCAATACTGACTGTCACATCCTCAAAGCACTGAGGGGAGACTGCAGTCATTCTGATAGTATGATATTTTATACACTACATTAAAAAGACCATCAAATCCATACCTTGGGAGTGCCAGGCGTAACAAGACCATCCTTAGGTGAAGGGTTCTTACTGCAATGGAAGAAGACAAATCATTGGTTACTTACAATATCATTACAAATACCAATGCTGAATGAGTTGCGCCTTGGCTCTGAAATAATATATCCACCATTATTGCAAAACATAATAATTATATTTTTCACAAGGATGTCATATACAGTTCCTGACTTGTGCCCAAACACAGCGATACATTGCTGTGAGTGCAGCCCAGTGTTGTGACAGGGCTGGCATTGACGAAGCAGGACACGGTTGTCATCTCTCCTCTGACAGCCTGTTAGCACTCCACACGCCCGCGACACATGGGACACACACACAGGGCAGTAAAGCAGAGAGAAGAGGGACAGGACACCCACTGAAATGTCCAAGGACCCTTATCTGACAGCATGCTTGGGAGAGAAGGGATTTTCTTTTTCAATGGCTGAACGGATGGATCATAGGAATAAGAGGCCTTATTTATGTCACTTAGCTCCGTATAAAAAGACATAGAGCCAAAACATGGCACTCCTAAAACTGGACACTTGAAATAAGGTTGGGTGGAACGCAGTCATAAGTGTCTTATCTTCTAACCTTCAATCAATGAACCTTAAGTCAAATCGCCAGGCACACCAAGACACACTATGCAAATAACATTCATAATTGACTTGTATTTATAAGCATAATAGTTAATCATTCAGCTGAAAACCAATATTTTTTGTTCCCTGAATCTTAAAGAGCAGTTAAATCGTTTGAATTTGAAGTTGACTTTTTAGATAATAAATAATATTTTAATTGTTGATGATTATAATTTTTTTTGTGTTTTTTTACTCTAACAAAATCATTGGATGCTTGCAATCCAATTTGTCACCATGTCTTGCTGTTGGTTATAGAACATAAATAGCACAAATGTCTTTGTGTGTGTTTGTGTGTCTGCATCTAAAACATGTGGGCCCCACCTTCCTTCAACAGAGAGTAAACACGGGTGACACAGTCAAGCTGCCGTGTAATGCAGGGGAATGTGCCAGTGCTCTTCTATTCGCTCCTATCTCTCCTATCCTCTTTTATTCATTACCTGGCGCCCAAGCCGAGGCATCAACAATAACAGCAGCCCCTGCACTTGCTTGTTGACACTGTCAGGCAGAGACTAGAGAAAGAGCAGCAGACAGAGAGGTTGCATGCCTGCCACGCTTGGGGGAAATTGCCACAATGACAGTAGGTGCTGATAGAGAGATGAAAGCAGTAAAAAAAAATTGAGGGGAAACTGTGGTAAGGAATGAAGACCAGTCGACATAAAGAAAGTACGATGAAAGGAAACGCGTCTCCCTGGTCTTGTCTGTTTCTATGAATTTTTGATGGCGTAGGTTATGAGGCAGGGTATTCCAGCCGCCTGCCACGTCAAAGAGAGGAGAGAGAAAAGTGAGACAAACATTCGGAGAAGATGCGTGGCAAAGGGGCAGTTTAAAACGTGCCGGGTTAATGAGGCAACTGAGCGAACAGGAGCTGAGGAGGTACAATGGTAGACCCAGACACGGGGGGGATTGGGGGATAACCTGTTAACAAGAGCCATACATCTGTACGGTTTTAACATGAGTGTTGACAAAATTATAATAATTGTATAAACTTGGCTGAGTTACGAGGGCTAACTTGGGAAAAAAATATCACATTTGAATTGAATTGAATTCTACTTATCTTTGTATATCTTTAAATTACAACAATACTGTAGTCTTCTCAGAGGACTTTACACATTTGTTGATTCACCAACAGCACATCAGAGAATCAAAACACAGGAAACAACACAGGAAAATGCAATAATTGGGAGTGGGATGACCAATGTCCATAAATGTAAATACATTTCCACTTAAGTAAGTTTACATCTTTTCAATCAAATCTGTGAAGCATATTTCCCCAAGTGAACCAGATTTGGTCCAGTTAAAGTCAAACAGACCAGGGTGAATGCAACTTGAATCAGTGAGACAATGATTAATGTTATTTATCATTTATATGTGTCAGTTTAGAGCTATTTTCATGAGGAATCCCAGTTCCACTTTCCCATATGTGATGGCGGCTGTTGAGCTATGCAGATGACTTTGGCCTCGCAGCCTCCTGAGGTGCACAGGGCCTCATAGATTTCCATTTGCTCAACAGTGTGTGTGATTTCCATGTCCATACACCCGGATGAACAAGCCAGCTGTAATCAAATCCACACGGTGACGACCGTTGACAGCAGAACAGAGAAGATAGGACTGCAGTGGGAGAGCAGGTATTTTTAGCACATAGGCAAAGTGTAGGCAAACACCAATGGACATCTTCGTTTCCATATACGCACACCCCTTTTATTCAGCCTGCGTTGGTCATCATTAAAGTCAGATTTAGAACAAATTGGACCAAATTCCCACTGTCACTTTCAATGATGGCCGCTCCCATGCAGAGCAGAGCGAGGGCAGGAGACAGATAAGGGCTGCTCCACACAGCTTTGAGAAACAGCAGATTTTTCTACATCCCTTTCCCTCTCCTCTTTCTGTGGGAATATCTGTGACCAACCAGTTCAGGTCGCAGTGACACTCCTCTTGAAATAACCATGTGTGTATTTGTGGGTTTGGGGTTTCAGACTCCCACAAAGTCAGGATCCAAAGGCAGACGACTGACCTTTATTAATTATGGAGACCTACAACCTACACCTTCACATTCAAATAGATGATCTCACCTTGTATGTCCCAATTATCAAGTTCTATATCAATATGGTGGGTTATGGGCAATGCATATTAAATTTTACCTGCCATCTGCTTGCTTCCATTGCTTTATTAAGGATGTTATTTAATTACATAGGTTTTTCATTGGTCAACATTATTTTAGAAAGCATTTGTTCTAAATTCAGATCACATATTCACAATTATGACTTAGGAACTGCATTTTAGCAAAGTGTCAGCAAGAAGGTCCTGTGTTCAAATTCAGTCTGCAGAGGGACTTTCTGAGGTGGAGTTTGCATGCTCTCCCTGTTTCTACGTACCACTAAAAACAATCCTCCAGCTCCAGAAGTCCTCTGGCAACACTACTTCTGATAGGTTTCCCAAGTGGCATTGCAGGATGGGTCAAATGCAAATATACCTTAACCCTTTACATTTCAGACAAAGACACCTATATGGAGACAAACAGGTGTGGCAGAACGCAAAATAAGAACGGTTTATATACCCATTTAAGTTGAACTGTTGCACTGTAGTGAAGCAAAACAAATATTATTAAAAAACACATAATTTATGACCCACGCTTAGCCACAAATAGAGCAGTAGTATATAGGAAACTGCTCACACATGAGTACACACAGGAGGATGCAGGTCCCATGTGTAAACGCCACTAAATGAGATGTGATTTCCATGAGGGGTGACGCTGTCTGTTGCCCTTCTCCTCCGGGTTAATGGCCACTATCGTAAAGCCGGGCGCTCGCCGGGCACTGGGTCAGAGCATAAACACTTCCACCCTGGACTTATATGGCACAGTACACAAACACACACAGCCAAGCGTGTGGTCAAGGTGAAATATGGATCCTAATGGTTGTGTCCCATCGTTAAAAGGGCTCTGGGCTGATTTATCCGTCATAAAACTGCCCGTGCCGCTGGCGTGAGGAGAGGAAGGGAGCTGCGCTGAACCGAGGGGCAGAGGTCAGTATCCTAATCCCTGTAGGAAACATTTAGCATGACGTAGACGGCGTGCCTCTGCCTTTTATGCAGATTTATGGCACCAAAAATCGCAAGCCGCAAGAAGAACGTAAGACAGTGGAGTGACATACAGTGAATTAAAGCTTCGCCTATGGCCTGTGTCTGTATCTTTATGAGGCACTAATGTAAAGGATTTGCTTGTATTTCACACTGTGTTGTGGACAGAACACTTGGCTGTGTGGTTTGTCTGATGGCTGGAGGTTGAATAACTTTACTTACCATCAAAATGTAGCTATATGGAGACATATGATATAAAATGTACTTTTAACTATGTCAGAACTGTGACCTCTCATCATTATCTTACCCATTATATTTTGTGTTTTATGAATCCTCTGTAATAATCTGCTTTCAAGGCTCAGTGAACGGAAAATATAGGTTTTTATGTTTATATGTGTTCTTCACCCTTTTATCTGAAGTCAATTTTCAAACAATTGAGACACTGGGTCATTCATGTAGGGCTGAAAATGTAATGTAGCCATAGTATTTTTGCTGTTTCCACTAAACACAATGTAAGTGCGACAAATTCCTTTCCAAAATCATTATATATTTCTTAGAAGCTTGATTTTTTAAAAACCATTCTAGACAGTGCTTTGGTTCATACCTGAGGCAAACTGCTGCGAGCCGCTCCATCTCGGTCTCCATGTGCTCTTGGAGCTCTCCAGGCCTCAGCAGAACCTGGCAGATTGGACACACTGGAGCCTGGCTGTCATACAACACCATCTTCTTTTTACCTACAACATCACACACAAACAAGAGAAAAATAGAGCAATCAGTATCAAAAGTCACATCTATATTTAGTGCATGACATGGTTGGGAGCAACACGTGTCTCCATTGTGTAATGTTTTGAGGTCAGCTCAGAGAGGGGAACTTGTCCGCTGAATGAGATAATGCAGAGTAGAGTGGTCTGTGCTTCATTGTCCTTGATCACAGGGGCACAGTGTGAACCCTCTGTTTGTCACTATACACTTCAGAACACAACATCATGAAGTAACTATACTTCCATCGAGACAAGCTTACATCTTATTGTGTCTAATGGAGTTACAAATACAGCCTACACAGTCTTATTGCTCGAGAACGTTTCCTGTATTTAGCCAAATCAAACAGGCTTTTAATAGTTTCGAGACAATGGTCAGGATATCCCGTTTAGACTGCTCGTCACCGTAGTAACAAAAGGAGCAGGTAATGGGAACACTCCATCACTGTATATGGCTGGTTGTCATGAAACAAAGGACACACTTGCTATACACCATTTCCAAATATTATCAAAGGCTGATTAATGTACATTCAGTTTAAAAATAACATGAAACAGTTTTTTTCCAAATATATTTCCTGTTCCACATTAACGTTATGTGTGATACTATTTATTGATGGGTCTTAGAGTTGATTCTTTACATTTTGGTGTGCGTGTACGTTTTTCTTGTATGTACTGTATATTATGGAATTAGCCCAATTTAAGATTAAGATTAAGATTAAGAAATCCTATTGTCCCACAACGAGGACATTTCAGTGTTGCATCACAAGTTACAGAACAGTAGGAATGAGGATCACACAGCACAACGTAAATGAAAAATATCTATACTAATTAAAATAAAATATCTAACCCCAGCATCACATTTCTAAAACTGTGTGTTTGTTGTGATGTAAATTGCAGATTATTTGCAGTTTTTCAACCACATGACTAGACTGGACTGCTTGCAGCTGTCACCGTCATATCCACTTGGCAAATTAAAAACGATAATATCTAATATATGCAAAAAATAGTCTTTGAATGGTCAATGCAAGCAACCCATCTGTCATTTTACACAACTAGAAAAGTACTTGTAGAGCTTAGACCTCCGCCAAGTGGTACAGATCCATTGCACATACACATTTCTGAGGTTTACTGGAAAAGCATAATCCCCTGGTGGAGGTTGCTAAAGTGAGTAAGTTAACAACTGCAAGGGCCACAAAGAGTTTTTTTTTTTTTTTAGAATACATAAACAAAGATTGGGAAAACAAGTAAAAGACAAAAAAAAAAGAAACCACACTCAACACGTGGCATGAATCAAGACTTACTTCTCACAATGACAGAACAATATATATTTTTCATGACAACATGTGATCAATACCTTCATTCACTCACTCACACTGTCATATCAGGCCCAGTCTCCTGATGTAGTTCTGTCATCAAAAAGAGCCGAGAGTCCAAACACTGAAGCATGAGCGCGCATACCAGCAGCTCATTCACCTCCTCACACCCCCACGCCACCGGCCACGGTAAGTGACTTTGAAAAATAGGTAATCGATTGCTATCTGTGCGCCTGCCTCTTCTTCAGGCCCCATTCAATTTCTAATTTGAACCTCCATCTCTGTTCATGTCTTTGTTTCATCTTTGCTCATTCCTTCTTTCATTATTTACTAGGTTTTTCTACCTGTTTCCATCTTTTGATTTTTCTCCCATTGCCTATTGTTGCCGCGTCTCCCCGTCTCACCTCCTCCCAGTGGCTTTTATTGCTCGCCTTGACAAGATAATTTGAGACATGCAGAAAACGCCACCTTTCACAGCACAAAGAAGGGTCCCGCTCATTGTCCGGTGTTCATACAAAACAAGTGCACGTTTTCACTCGTTGGACTCATTTGAATGGCAGCATATTTTTTTCTTACTGGGTTCTTTTACATCAGCTACATTCACATTGTGTGGGCCCAGTTTGGGGCTGACTCCTGATGAAATTGATTTTTGAAAATTATTTTATGCATCATGCTGGTTGAGTTCTGGGTCAAAGCTGGAGGTGCTGTGCAAGTATAAACACAATACTTAATAGCAATGGTTGAATTGGTATGGCCTCAGCATGCTTTGGTCCAGTCTCGGGGCAATTCTAGCAGAACATGTATAATGCACTCTATAATTTATAACAAGATGCATTCATGTGACATCACAACATTTCAGAGGGTGCTAGTTCAAAACTGTGGGGGAGAGCAGCTAACACATGGTACACATGGTACTATTGTGTAACTGCAAGTCAGATTTCTAGTCTTAGGTTAGAGCTAATTTCCTATTAATTCCTGGGCAAGTTCAACTATGGCACACATCAGCTATGGCCTATTTATTATGCCATAAAAACTGCCTAGAATTGGTGACAATAAAAATATAAAATTAAAAAAGCATATCCATGATGTTGGCCAGTAGAAAGGACTTTTGAACATTGTTATAATATAGGGGATTAGTGAATCTGGGAAAATATTTGGACAATTCATTTTTCAAAAGAACTTCAAAAATTGCCTCTTTGCCATATAGTTGTATTGGAACCTGCCCTCCAACTGAAACAGAATACAAATATATGTGTATATATGAAGCTGCACTCACCAATCCTCATTCAAACTAGTTTTATGAATCAAAACTTACAAACTGAACTAGTAATTGCACCCGTCACTCACCACACTTTTTATCCCATTCCACTATAACTTCATGCTGTCCTTCAGTTCCATCCTTTCTCCTTGTGTCCCCTTTCTTTTTCGCAGCCTCTATTTTTGCCTCTCTGTCAAACGCTCCCCAAGGGAAAGTGAGTGATCGCGAGCGGCACACGGACAGATAAATCCAGGATAGGAAAAAAAGCTGGATGGTGCTAGAAGAGAGGGGGGTGTTGATGTGATGTCGCACACCGGGCTTGTCAGCGCCTTAAAGATGATTAATGTAGAGCTAACACACACACACACACACACACACACACACACATTTAAGTATAGGAGCATCCCGAGTCACACTGCGTTTAATCTGGGGTGGGGGCTCACTCAGGGCTACAGGAGGCCGGACAATAACAAGGAAATAGGCCTGACAGGACTTTTTAGTGCAGAGATCTTTCAGTGAGATACAGGCAGACCAAGGATGGATGAACGGAGAGAGTCATAGGAGGAGAGGAAGAGAGGTGTTGTGCATCTCTGACAGATATGATGGAGGGTACGCCTGATTCTTCCTAATGTGCAAAGATGGATCACCTCATCTCGCCGTCTCCAATTCGCCTGGTTCTCACAATTCTTTCATTTGTCTTATTTTGATTACATGTGTTTGCGTAGTTCAACACCAGATAGTGTCTTCAACTGGTGAATGTAAAGTATCTTTGAGTGATATCTAAAACTGATGAATTATTGTTATATGATTAGCTTACCCTTCATTGTTTCATCAGCCAGATATATTTTTGACAAAGTGACTTATAGAGCAGCAAGTAGAGCAGAACTTTCAAACAATACATATGTACAGTATGTAATAAAATCCAATAAATTCCTCTCTCTCAAAGCACACACATTTTTTTTGTCCTCAGTCACAAATTTAGGTCAGATTTTTCAGAAAAAAAGGGAAAAAGGGGGGACCAGTATGCAAAATAATGTTTTCTCATGAGATGAAGACAGCGTGTTTTATTTGTTCACTAAATTGTACCTTTGCAAGTCAGTCTCTCAGTTGAGGCAAATCAAATGTATTATTTAACAACAAAAAGTTAGGGTCAAGCCAATAATTCAATTTCAGAAGTAAGTGCGTCCTTTGAATACCATATTTTTTGGGGGGGAAAAACGACACACAGTCAAACTTTCTTTCTAACTGCCTGCAGATGTTCGAAGATCTAATAGTAAGTTGGCTGCGTGGTGGAATTAAAACTATAAGCAAAAAACATCTCCATGGAGACAAGGTGGTGCGGTCTCAAATTTAATACATATAAATGAAATGGCCTGTTCAAAGTAAGCACTTGAAAAGTCTCTGTCCTTTTCCCCTTTGGCTGCTGCCCACACGCCTTCATCAGCCGCTCTGCCTGTGAGTTGCTTTGGTCCAGATGAAGTGAGAATCGATAGATGGTAGATAGCAGCAGCTCAGAGTCACACACTACAATGAGCCGAGGTAGAAAGGCCACCTCCGGAGAGGACAGGGATTGTCAGCTCGATACTGTCTCTCAATGGGACCATAGATAAAAACCATTTGGAGCGTCCTCGTGGCTCATTGGGCAAAGAGGAAGATCCAAATCCCATTTAATGACCAGTACCCCGTGTCATCCTTTCACTTTTATCTCTGCAGCCACGGATGGACTGGACTGAAACAAAAACTCAAAGGCATTACGAGCAGAAGGACTATTCAGGTGAAGTCCGATCTGCTGCTGAAAGTAATGAAACATACTTGCACGATAATCTTAAGTTGCTTTGTGAAGATATGGACCCAGCCTTGCATTTAGCTACAGGAACTTAAAGACGAAACACACCAGAAAATGTAGAAATGACCTAAACAGTATAGCCATTGTTTGTGGGAAGAAAGATTGAATATAGCAAGCAAATTTGCCCGAATCTTTAGCATCTCTCACAATAATCAGAGGGAACTTGTAAATTATACACACAATCAGCTAATGAGCTTGGAGCATGTAAACGGCTTTTAAACACAACTATAAGAGAACCAGATTTACGAGTTGGCACAAACGCAGCACGTTGCCGTCTCCCCAAATGGAATTACAAAGTAGCATGTCCAGGCTGTTTTTGTGTCCTTGACCGACTGTCTCTTGTGTACAAACAGACACATTGGCCTCATGGCTGTTGTCTCAAATGAGTTTTCTGACATGCATCAAGTGTTTATGCTTTCCTTGTTTTCTTCTCCTCCTCTCCTGCTGCCTTCAGTGTCTGGGCCAGTTAGCTTTAACACCCGCCAACATCGGTAAACAAGGAAATCTCTCAGCAGCGGTCCCGCCGTGTAACCGCATTACCGCACCCG